TCATGAATTTCGTTCAACTAATGTTATTTAAAAAAATTGTCAAAGTTTTTTGTTTTACTTTCTTTAAAATTATGTTTTGATTTGTTGATTTGAAAATAAGAAATGCTTATTTGATAATGGAAAACGAAAGTCACTGATCCAAGGTAATCCATCTGATGTTTTTCGAAAAATATTTGCTGCTGTGACAGAAATTATTTATTATGCACCCCCAATAACAATCAGCTTAAGCTGAATTTACTCTTTAAATCTGCTTAAAGCGTCGCGACTGTTTTTAATTGCGTCCATCTTCTCGCTTAGCACTAATTACGGCGTGAAATACGGCTTCTCTTTGGACTCTCGACGTTCGTGCTTTACGGTACTCTCTCGCGAACAGTCGTGGCGCCGGATTTCTTTCTCGCCTCGATCCCCGTCGCCGAGAACGGTAAATTAACACGCTACAGAGCAAACGTCACGACCGATTATTTATCACTCTTATTCGCGATAAACGACACGATACCCGGCGGTGGCCTCGCTGCGACGCTTATCCACGCGCGCCAGGCGCTAATTATGAATCCTTTTTTTTCCCTCGTGCGACCGCTTTCACAAAATACGGATCTGATGGCGCGATAAGGTGTACGCGTGTCCAATCCCAGGTGTCATTTGCGCGCCTTGTCGCCGTCGATGGACACTGACAGTGGCCGGCGCAATAATCAACGTAGATTGCCGCGTGTCTCATGGCACGGAACTTAGCGATTATCAAAGCGATCGATCGAATTGTCGCAACGAAGGACAGGGTTGACTCGTTTATCCTCCCTCTCTCTCTCTCTCTCCCTTCTCTAGCTTATATACCATTTAGGTATCATATCTATAAGCTAGCGACACTAATGCTGATCAGTTATCTTGCGCATTATAACTATTACGTCACCCCATGTTAGGAGTTAATCTCGGGATAATTTTACAACTTTATTAAGAGAGCTCGCGACGTAATGTCGTCTTTCTAGCATAACCGATAAATAGCCTCGGTAAGATAGCTTCAAGAAGCACTATAGATAATATATCGATTCACCGATATCTCGTCGTCTCCTTATTGTGTATCTGATTTTTTCTCGCAACGTCGTATCTCCGCGTGTGTGTCGCCGCAATGGAATCACGAATTACCGGCGTTGATCGCTCGAGGCTTCAACGGACGCTCACCGACTTGCAGAACCTTGTGCGTTTACCTGCATACAGGGTGCCCCATTAGTAGTCATTAAACTTTCCCGCATGACTGACCTGCCCGGCTTTCGGGGTCTTGCAACGCCGGTGTTCGTCGGCCTTGCGAGAGGCCGGCGCTCGCCGTGCGCTCTATCCTTAGAAAATTGGATCGTACCTATCGATGTACGCGTGTGGCAGGTTGCCAATTATGAAATCTGAAACTCAGCGAGCCGCGCCGCGTATATACCGAAGATTTACGTTTTTGCGAGCGTCGCGCGCGGATATCGCACATTAATAATTTAAAACATGATTTTCCCTATTGCGATGCATTGTTGATTTCAACGTTTCGATTATTAGCGACATTTGCATTGCGGCGACTAGATAAAGCCGATAATGCGAGCAGATAATACTAATAACACGTATTTCGCGAGCAAAGTAAACATCATTAAGAAACGCAAAATCAAATATCATGCGATTTCATATGCATGAGACAGTATCGGCGTATCGGCAGAAGTGTAATATATCATTTAATAGCGTTATTTTATTCATATGATTCGAGATCGACAGTTTTATTCCATTTAATTATAACTGATATAACAACAGTCTTATTTGAATTGGTAACACGTTATTATTTCGTCTTTTTACGAATATTATGACGATGAAGTAACAGGTATAACGATAGCATTATTATAAATATTATATATAATAATCACATTCGTAACAATTGTAATAAAAATGCTGATCTCGAATCATATGAATAAAATAGCGTATTAAATGATATGTTGCACTTCTTCTACAATCATCGACCAAGAACGCGGCAAAGCCGACCGTACAGCCCGACGTGTTGCCCAACGCGATTTCGAGGGTTACCCTATGTGAGAGGCGCGAAGGAAGCTTTGTGGGTACGAGAATGGTCGCGGGAAGTGTCCGGTGTGTCCGGGAGCGGCCGTCCGAGAGCGGATGGTCACCCTGTTCCGAAGGGTCATCCATTGGCTCGCTCTCACTTAGCATAAAAGGGGTAACTAGCAATGCCCGTTGCCATAATGGAACGAGTGTCCCATGGACATATAATTAGGCGCGCAGTCCATGGGAAATTCGGACCCCATTCCGACGTTTTAGCCAGTCGGTCTGAACGTTTTCGCATAAGCATTATTAAAAGATAGGGTCATCCTCCGCGCGAGCAGAAAAAATCGCGGAGTGTCGACGAGCAGTTGTCAAACACCGGGAAATATGACACGCGCGAAATAAAGGCTTAAGCCACGATGGAGAGGCGCCAATAAAATCGCAGATACTCTATCTCGTCTGTCTGATGACGTAAAACAACGCTTAATCCTTTCATCGATGTTTCCTCGTTCGTTCATTTACGTTGTGTTTTTTATGAAACACGTCTCACGCTGCGTTATTGCGGTGAGGAACACAGAAGACTGACAGCGATGTAGACATACCAAAGAGAATGCAGGATTAATAATTGAACATTATCAACTGTCGTTGGGAAACGTACCGTTCCTCGTTACACGCCGATCTGTTTGCTTAATAGCTTGATAACTACTCGCTTTAAGACGATTATACATTATGGAAAAAAAAAACGCTGATCATGTAACAAGAAAATTAAGGACACAACAATATGCTAGACACGGCTACATTCCAGATAGTAGCAATAAAAGAATATCTATGGAAAACTTTTCCTGGGAAACACTAACTTCGATATTACAGGATTTGTTTGAAGAAAATATCATCTAAACGATGTTTCGCATTGCAAGGTTAAAGATGACACAGAATTATCATTAATAGTCAGTCCACGTGTAAGAATGCGATTTGCATATCTGTCAGATGCTCTATGATGAAAGATGTTTTATGATGAAAATCTTATCGAAACATCAATTCCGATTAAAACTGATTTATGATGCATGTCCCCAAAGTTTAAATTAAAATTTAATATAGCAAAGTCTAATGATTCAATTGCGTATTACAATAATATTGAATATGATTTTAACGATATTTTCATCAAAACTTTTCCTATTCTTTTTAGTGTAGCAAAATTCTTAATTCGTTCTAATCATAATAGAATATTTTATATATAATTATTATTAGACGGTATATTCTCTTAAGTAGTTTCTATATAATTAAGAAATTGATAAATAAGTTTATCGCTGAAATATTTGTTGAATGTTCAAGTGAAATCGACATTTTATAAATATCAACATTTTGTGCCTTTGAATGTTATTATCAACTTATCAAAATTTACTAGCGAGTTTGCTGGGCATTTCCCAGCATGAATAATCAATGAATTATCAACCGTACGTTATAGACCATATCGCAAAACATCGAAAGGAATGCTGTCCTGATAATGCCGTCCGAAAAGAATATATGCGAGCTCAAGGCCGATTGAAACGCACACCTCCTACTCGCGTTGAAATCACCAGACGTCGAGTCTTAGGCGTTGAAAGTATAACGCCGGTATGAGTTCGATATCCATTTTTATATATATGGAAGAACTTACGGTGAGTCAGGGTAATTGAGAGAAATGCAAATGATTTCATCTCATTAAATAAGTCATCACTCTTAATGGTTCGTAACAATTATTTGATTCTCCACTGAAGAGCATATTACTTATCGCGTTTTTGTTCTGACGTCAGAATTAATTCAATTGACGCGTTGCCGTCGTCGCAGATACGCGCAGCGATTATTTTCGCGTGTCTACAGTATCCCGGAGTCTATATATAAACTCACCGAAATTGTACCGGTTTCTCGATCCCTCCTCCAGACCCTCGTTCGTGCGAGCTGTTAATTTATTCCCGATACCGATACCGGCGCGGTCCTATCGAGAGAGACAAATCCGGTGCGCCTACGCGCGCGCGCCCATCGAAATCCCAATTCAATCGAAGGCAAAAGACTCACGGGTGCGCTTTATCGGGCGAGTGCTGTCAACGGGTCCAAGTGACACGTCCGGCCGCAAGCAAGGAGATCATGAGATGTATCCCGCTGTGGATATCCAAGTGGACGATACCTCGAGATATATGCGTGAATAGCACGAGTCTGATAGAACTCCGATAAAAAAAACAGAGCTCGGATACGCGCACTCACACACTTTCCTGTTTCTTTCGTAAAGGAGCACTCCGTAAAGGTTTTTCATTCACCCGCGTGTTCTCTTTTACCCTCCCTCACTTTTCTTTCTCTCTTTTTAATCGTTTTCGGATCACAGTCGTGTTTCACGTGGCATTCGCACAATCGAAAAGTCTTTCATGCAGAATCGGCAAGATGATCGGCGACGGATTTTCGAGCTCGCGAGTAGACTCGAAGCTCCTTCTCGTCGGCGATTCTGTGGACTGGCTCGTCGAGTCGTGGCGCGTATTCATTAATATGATAATCATCCAATACGTATACGATGCCTCTCGATGATCGCCCTCGTCTCCGTCATCTTCATCGTCTTCTTCTTCGTCGTCGTCGTGGTGGTCGACGACGGCGGCGCCGCGCAAAACACCATCATAAATCTGAACGAGATCGCGTTCGCGTACAATTTCGTTTGCAATCGACGAGACGAAATAGAAAAACGAGAAATGAAATGTACAGCGACAAATGCGCCGCGCACGTCGGAATCACTCGCGAATGGAAAACTCGGCTCGATTATTTTTTCAATTCGCAAAATTGTCACAGCAGAAAATTAATTTTCGCGCACTTCTGATTTTATGAGTGAATAAAAAAAAAATCCTTGTCCCTTCTTCTTCTTTACGTTCCGCTTTACGTTGACTCGTGTCTGCACTTTTCTCTACCTCGACACCGTCACTCTCCGTGTCTCAACACGTTTTCACGTATCTCCGGTCATTTCGTTATCGCGCCTCCGCCTTCGCCTTCCACCTCATTCTCCGTCCTTCCTCGTCCTCTCCTTCTTCTCCTCCTCCGCCCCCGCCTCCTCCTCCTTCCTCCTCCGCCTCCGTTTCTTCCTTTTCCACCTCCAGCTTCTCCACCTTCCACCAGCGGAGATGACTCGTGCTGCCGTCCTCTTTCCTCTTCCTCTTCCTTCCTACGCTTCTTCCTCTGATCCCGCACGATCAAACAACCACCAATGCAACCAATAACCACTTGGTCCCGCTGCGGTGCCGCAAGCGGAGGTGCCGTTGTACGCGTCGACTAATTTTCGGACGAACTTTCCGGTTCGGTGTCTTGTATTGGACTGTGCAGAAGTGGCACCTTCCAGTTTCTGAACTTACATCTTGTCAGGTAAGTGTGAGCTTTGCCCGCGCGGTCCCGGGGCGGTGGCGCGTGTATGCGTCGCGTGTACATATGTACGCCTCGCGTGCGTGTTGCGTGTGCGTGTACACGTGTATGCGTGTCGCGCCGCAGACCCGCCTCTTTCCCCACTCTATACCGCGGTTCTATCTGGCCTCTCTCTCTCTCGCGCGCGCGTGCTCTCGATCGCCGCCATACGAGAGTGTGATAGCAATGCGCTCCCTCGTCGAATGTGCGTATAGAGCGTACGTTGTTGCGTGTGCGTGTTGGCTGCCGCGCCGCGGACGCACGCGAGTGTACGGGTTACCCCCGTGTGTCGCCCGTAGACGACGACGACCACTGGTAGCTTCCAGGTAGACCAGCGTAGAGACGTTCTTCTTTTTCTCTCTCCCGTTCACGTTTCTCGCCTTCTCCTTGTCCTCCTCCCTCTCTAGACATCCCCCCTTGATATTGGTTTTTTTTTCCATCGCGCGTTGTCTCTTTTCTTCTCTCTTACTCCTCCCGCTTAGTTCTCCCGCGTGAGTGCGTGCGTGACTCTGCCGATGCGCGTAGAGGACATTTAACGTATCGCGATCGTGTTTTATCCCTACCAGTTACGTTCCGAGAGAGAAACAGAAAAAGAGAAAAGGAGAGACCGAATGAGGACTTCCTAGGATCAGATACGCCGTAAGGGTTGCCGAGGCGAGGGTAGTTGCTCATGTAATAATCTCTTTCGGGGGTAGTTCTGGTCTTCGATCAGCAAAGTATTGTTTCGCACGATATCATCTTTAATACTCGCTCGATTTATGAGTATTTTATGTTTATGTCATATTAATTAAAACGTGTAAGAAATTTAAGAGACATAATGTGTGAAGCTTGAGAGACGATAATTTGCTTGAGTACAAATCGAGACTTAGAACCCTTGATGATGTTATATCACTGTTGAATCTCATGTTGCGCATCGCGTTAAACGAGAAGTTGCGGATTAAATAAACTTGTCTCCTCGCCGAATATGTTTAGCATATTTTCGATGACAGCGATAAGAGAATATAAATCTATCGTTGAAAGCGTCACATTCGAGGATTTGCATATTCATAAAATAGCGTAAGAAAATAACAAATTTTAGTTATCTTAAGAAAATTAAAAAATTCTCGATTTTTTTCTTAAATAGATGTACGTTACCTATGAAAGAGAGAAAGTTCGTGTTTATGTTTTGTGACTTTCCAGAATAAAAATTTTTATATTGACCACCTGAATCCTCCGTAACATGTTGGATGTGTACATTGCATCATTAAAAGAGAACAGTGCACCTGTATATACATCAGAGTGTATCAGAATATGTGAAACGCACGAACAATACGGTCACTTTTTCATTCATGTATTACCTTTGATTAACTGACTCAAGTTTGATATCTTTTTTTTTCACGTAGATGCAATCTTCTTTCACAACATTTCAATTTCGACGTTAATTATCTTGGTAACTATATTCAAAATTAAAATCCAGTTGAAGTTCATTTGAAAGTGACTTGAGAACAAGGTTGTCTTAATTTGCCAGAACCTCTTCATCCTTGAACGCTTATAACGCAAAAACCGCTGACGCCTTCTGGGGCATCCCGCATGGACATTATAAACGTCCGGCGATGAAGAAAGAGAAATCCCCTTGACGTTTTAATATTGTCCCCCCCTGGCACGAATAAATCGCTCGTCCGAGAACGACCGCAGGCGTGGAAAACAGATCCCCGACTTTTTTTTTCTCCGAGTGGAAACTCGTTGAAAGTTTCACCGAGATGTCAACAGTGGTTACTCTTCATTATGTCGCTCCAGTATTCCGATTGAAAGATCTCCGACAGTATATGGATTCTCAACATTTTCTGCATCTACTTACTCGATGTTTTATGAACGTGCAGGACGTGTTGAAAATTATGATCTTTAATCACTATCTTTTCGAGTGGAACGAACGATTCCGGCGTGTCCTTCCTGAGAAGGTTATTCTTCCGAATATATATGATACGTCCGCCTCATAAAAATTTTAATTTATCGTCGAATCGAAATTTCATCGTGTATGTCTCTCCTGACGACGCGTCTCGACTGATTGTATCATTAATCGCGTCTGCGTTAACATATAAAAATAACCGAGATTGACGTAAAGGCCTGCGGGCATTTTGCAAGCGGATGCAAATTTCATGTCAGTATTAGCGTGAATTTTTAACGTTAATTAAATCGCCGATTTTACAGCAGAGAACCTCCGGCGAGGAAAACGCAGGTTCCCGTTTCTCGTTATCTCTCTTTTTCTCGCCTTTCCTCGTCTTCCTTTTTTTTTCACGGACTCTCTCAATCGACGACGGGGGTAACGAAACCGGTCGTCGAGAGTTTCACCTCGGGCGTCTCCATCGGCTATTTTAACGATGCCGAAGAGAGCGCCCCGAAGTTCATGGAGGTGCAAATAAGAGGATAGTTTCACGACCGGCTCGTCGTCGGCTGTCCATTTTTCCATCTTCGGTCGTCCGCGTTACGCCCATAAGTGATCCCGAGTGTCGATCTCATACCTATAACGAGACTGATCGAGTGCGCCGCCCCGATTCGAGAGATTCGCGCGATCGCGCTCGCATGCTCGATAAGAAAAGACGAGACGACGACAGAGGGAGAGAGATTGAGAGGGCCGTAAATAGTTACTCTGTTAATCAAGCGAAATCCCGGTGTTCGAACCAGTTTCGTTAATGAAGCGGTGACATGATATCTATTAAGGCGAGAAATTTTATGCCTGCGCGAATTCGCGGCACTCGATTCGTGCCGATAGCGAGACGCGCTATCGCGGGGAAAAAACGATCCAAACCGATAATCGATTGGAAAATCGAACTGGAAGTCGCGAACGTTCTGCCATTTCATTCTATGAAACGCGGTCACTTGAGTTATTTTTATTAATGCTGGTTTTTTTGATAAATTTATTAATTTACTGGTATCAATAATAAGAGAGAAAAAATACACAGAAGTTAAAATATAAAGTGATAATATTTAAAAATAAATAATAATTTAATGATAAAAATAATGATAATTAATGATAAAATAAATTAAAAATATGTAATGTCTCTCTCTCTCTCTCTCTCTCTCTCTCTCTCATTTTGCAATCCTATCATAGAAATAAATCGGTATTAATACTTCGCAACGTGAAATCAAACTATTTTTCATTTTTTCCGTAATAAGAACAATTCATTGTAGAAATATAAGTCTTTTAAAAAACGTTAATTATTTTGCAAAACATAGAAAATATTACGTATATAAATTCTGCTTTCATACAGATTGTTATATTAGGAGTAACTTTATTTCTTATAATTTTTGCAAAAATGATAAACAAATTAATATTTAATTATTAATTAAATCACTATCATGTAAAACAGATTGTACTTTAAATGCGCAAAATGTCACGTGCAAACAAGTACAAGCACAATTTGAAGTAGTAAAAGCAGACGCTGGCCAGCCAGCGCTTACATAATAATGAAGAACATCTGTCGATAATGAATTTTTTATTATTTATTGTGCGTAAATATGATTTCTCATCGTTTATAAACATCGTTCATAAACATCGTTTATAATTCAAAATCGCACGAGGAAAAACACATTGGAAAATACGCCGATATCATATCTTAAGAAAAAAGAAATACTTCTCATAAAAATATATTCTGCGTAATTATAAAATATAAATTGAATACATAGTACATATATTTACATTTAATTAAATGTACTCATCATTTACAAAGTCTACACATTGAACAGTCTCGAAGAAAAAAACGAAAATCTAAAAACTGAAACCACTCGCGATCTATCTTCAAAATGTATTCATTTAGAACCTTTCCTTGAATTCATCGCCTATCTAGGCGGTGGAGAGAAAATTGGCGTACAATGTTCCTTCTTAAACATGTTCTTATACATCGATATTTTAGCTTAATGAATTAACATATCTTTCTCCGTCCAAAATACAAGTCCGTTAAAATACAAGTGCGTGCGTTGTAAAAAATTCGACGGCTTTCTGTCATCCTCACCTTGTTTTTTCATCAGGTAGGCTCTTGTGATTCGAACGTGTGTGAAGCAATGCGTTTCCCTCGGTTGTGTTGCGCGATTTATCGGGTCTCTTTTCGAATTCTTATCGTGCTTCATAAAAACGATGTCGCGCGTTATGGTCGTGGCGACGACGCGCGACGACGGAGGCCAGGACACATATAACAGTGAATTGTCGTTACGTTTGTCATTGTCGTGGTAAATAAAAGGCCACGTCGTATCTGCCGCCGAGAGAGAAAAAGAGAAAGAGAGAGAGAGAAAGAGAAAGATCTACCGCAGATATCCTCAGGTAAACGAGTATCCACTCGCGTCTACCGCGACAGTAATGTCGGGGCGAGCTCTTTTATTAGCCGGCCGTCTACCTTCCCTCCTTCGTGCTCGTTTGTCGAAAATCTTCCTCTTCGCGGCATTCGGACTACCGATATACGCCGTAACAAATTCTGATGAGAAGTATATTTTTAAGTATATTGCACTTTAACTTCCGTGTACGATTGCAATCCAATTTGTTTTTATAACGCGTATATTTCTGTGTAATAAAATATGATTATTCGTGCATGAGGAATATTAGAAGTTCTAATACTTTAATCCAGAAAAAACGTATACCAAATTTATTCTATACCTATATGGCAATTTTCTCGAAACTTTCCTGAAGATAATGATGCTTTATTATTTTTAGGAAGGAGAGTTTTACCGAAGGAAAAATTTAGTTAAATACAGATCTGAAAATAATTTTGTTAAATCATCAAAATAATTGTAGGATATTCAAACTGGTTACT